AAAGTAGGTTTTCAAGTATTGTAAAACATGGCATATATGCGCTATTGCAGGGCGTAGCTCAGAGGTAGAGATTTTGCTTCTCATGTGGTGGGTCTCTGGTTCAAATCCGCACCACTCACTATACTTTAGTTCCATTAATTAAACTTTTACATGTTTTACATTAAAATAACAGTTCTAATCAACATCTAATTGTTTTATTACTTTGAATAACAAATTCGGAATATCAAAATAGATTAAAAGTAATGTTTTTATGATAAGCAGTTCAGTCCAACGCCCCAAAAATCAAATATAGGCCTACACAATTGTTAGTACATCACAGGGTTTTAGCTTATTTAGGGAAACAAATAATAAGCACCTAAAAAAATACAATGCAACTCCTCTTTAAAATTGTCTTACTATTATTACCTATTAAAATGTCTTTAAATAAAACCGAGAGCCTTGGGTGTAAAATAATCTGATTAATGTTGCAATGTTGGATACATTTTTGTACATCTTTGTATGCAATATGGTATGCGGTTTTAATTTGGTTTCTCTCAAAGCTTAAAAATCTTTTCTCTGTGATAGCTAAATAGTTGATATAACCATGAAATTTAACTCAAGTAAAATTATACTAAAATTTCACAGAAATTGATAACTTATAATTATAATTAATTCTAATAGGGCGATTGTACATACATTATAAAATTTAATTTCGCTCATTTTGTACAACGCCAAATTTATTAATTGTAATTTATATCTAATAATAATTATCATTTTAGCACTCGCAGATCAATTTGTATCTTAAATTGCAAACGTGAGCCAATTCGCACTTGCAAAAAGAACTTAATAATTCATTTTTTTTTAATGATGTGAGTAATGAAATAACTCTCTTTCCAAAAATACTAGTCTACTTCAAATAATACGGGTGTAGAGAGGTTGTTAGAAAATGGCAAGTATTTACCAGTGTAATTTACAAGAGTAAAACTTTATGAAACACATTGCTGTCTACACTAGTAAAAACCACTAGTAATACTAGTCCCTACACTAGTAACTAGTATTTTACCCTAGTAGGTTTATGAAACGTAGACTTGTAAAATACACTAGTATTACTAGTTAATGGACTAGTAAATACTAGACTAGTAGTTTTATGAAACAGGGCCCAGGAGGGTACAATTCCGGGCCGTACATCTCCTGAAATTTTTTATGTAATCATCCGGTTCACTGATCACTTTTCCACATTAAATATATTAAGTTAGATTCCATTAAAATCAAAGTGTACGGGGTGGAATGATGCCCTTAGGCGTGACGTCAAAATTACGTCGACAATCGGTGGGGGGTACAATTCCGGCCACCCAACTGGGCTACACTAATATCGTTTCGATTAGTAACTTAAAACTTCATTCGACTTTTTCATTATGAGCCGATAAGGTTAGGTTATGACAGTTTCATTGTTTAATTGATAGCCTATAACACGGTAACATAATAATATATATAGGCTATTTTTAATTGATATTTTCAATCAATAGGTTCAATCAATGGTAAATATGCAATTTAGGGTTTGTACGTGTTTATTGAACATTTTTTTCATTCTAGGCCTACCATACTTGAAATTTTACGCTGATTCCGACCATAACGCGGAAAAACAACCAAAACGACCAAAAAATATTTTGTTACCAAAACATGTCATGTGGGTACTCAAACTAACCGGAATATAAAGCAGATCAGGATTATGCGAGAATGTTTTGGATCCGAAGTCATACAAGCAAGATTTTCACAAAAATCTGCAATGTTATTTTGTATTTTTGCTCAAACTTTTGTCTGTATTAAAACAAGCTGTTACCCACGGGCTTCAACCCGTTTGACTTCAAAGTATTATAAAAAACTATTGATTGGTTAAGCAAATTTCAAGCAATTCCAAGCAAATTTCCCATAATTCACCCGACTACCCATTATTTTCCGTTCAGTTAGCCTTTTTAACACTTTAAATAACCCTTTCCCCCGCCTAATTTTCCGATGATAAACCACGTTAGATGTATCCCCCACCCAAAACCCCGAATTCCCACCTGTCCCCTAGTGAGTTGGGGTAATTGCTGGTAGTATCACATTTTCGTGAAAATCTTGCTTGACGTTTGATCCAAAGAATTTTTGCATATTCGTGATCTGCTTAATATTCCGGTTAATTTGAGTACCTACATGACGTGTTTTGGTAAATTAAATATTTTTGGTTGTTTTCCCGCGTTATGGTCGTTTTACGCGGAAAAAAGACATCATTTTCGGAATCAGCGTTGAATTTAGAGTAGAATGAAAAAAAAATTCAAAAATCGCGTGCAAACCCTAAAATGCATATTTACCCAATCGATATTAGCGAGCCCAGACAAGAAACTGTACGGTACCCGATTATAATTTTTTTACAAAAAGCCCTTGATAGTCATAGCTTAAAATGTGCATAACAATATGACTATATATGATCAAGATAACTTATTAGTCCTTCATCATGTGTAAAAAAGAATATCTGATAATGTATAGAATGTAAGAATATCATGATAATTACGGTATATTGAACTAATAATTTATCTGATAATATATAGGCCTATTAAGTTCTCTTTCAAAACACCTATTAACCCTCAAGTGCTAATGCAAATTGCCTTTAGCGCCCTGACATTTTCTGTGTGGTCGCGCAGACTTTTTGAAAAATGGACATAAAAATTACTTTTTCAACTTAAAATACCATGTAGGCCCTACCAGTATATATATTCCTCTTCTATGCTCAGTACCGGATTTAGGGTACCTGCCGCCCTAGGCCAAATTACTTGAGCGGCCCCCACCCCTACGGGGGAAATTCCTGGCGATTGCAGAAAATAAATCGTGAACATCTCCCGTGGGCTGCAATCACGGAGACATCATCATCAACACCCATGACCATGGGAAAATCATTAACATCTCCCGTGGCCCGCAATCACCGGGACATCATCATCGTCACCAGTTCTCTAGGTTGAAAAATGATACTTTGAACAAATGATAACTTCTAACAAGACAAAAACATTTTTGTAAATGAGAAGGAACCCCTTGTGCCGGGCGCCCTCCGCGGTCGCGGACCTAGGCCTGTCGACACCAGCCACCGTGGTAAAACCGTGAAAATCTCCTGCGAGCCTCAATCACGGGACATCATCATCGACACCTGCGACTGCGACAAAATCGTGATTACTTCCCGTGGGCCGCAATCACGGGGTCATCATCAGCATCATCGTTAACTTCTCCCATGGGCTGCAATCACGGGGACATCATCATCGATACAAGTGACGATGGCAAAATCGTGAAAATATCCCGTGAGCCGTAATCACGGGGACACCATCATTGACACAAGTAACGATGGCAAAATCGTGAACATCTCCTGTGGGCCTCAATCACGGTTGCAACGTCATGGTTACTATCTCCCATGTGCTGCAATCACGGTGACATTATCATCGTAACCCACGACCGCGGCAAAACTGTGAACACCTCCTTTGAGCCAAAATCACGGCGATATCATCTTCGTCACCCGCCACCGCGGCAAAATCATGAATATCTCCTGTGGGCCGCAATCGTGATGACATCATTAGCACCACCTGCGACCACGGAAAAGTCGTGAATATCATCATTGTCACCCACGATTGCGGCAAATTAATAACTAATAAAAAAATACATTTTTTTTAGAAAGATTATTGTCAATCCATTGTGGCCCCCTTTTTCTTGCGGCCCTAGGCCACGGCCTAGTTGGCATATCCGGCACTGTCTATGCTATATAAAAATAAACATACTCGTTATCCTGTTAGCAAACAACAGAGATGTTTACAACGACTTTTGTGAACCGTTGCATAATCGCCGCAATCGCGACTTGAGCACTACACCTGTTACTGAATATTGTCACAATCGCGACGATGAGCACTTCGAGGGTTCAAATTAAAGATATATCGGAAGTTTCCAAACCTAATTGATAACTTAAATAGGTATGAGATGGAGAACAAAATCACAACTTGTGGAATGCTAAGGCTGTTTAGGTGAGGTGATTGATCGTAGTAATATCACCATTACCGGTACTTATGTGAGGTAAATAACATGCTCACCATTCTCATCATTGTGAGTCACACGGTTGGTCTTAGAATCCTATGAAACTAAGTTGATGTTAGGTCAGCGCACGTGATAGAGTTTTAAGAATAGTAGGCTACTGTCATTGATGACATGGTGTGTTTTTTTACTGATGTCAACAACTGTTTTTTAATTTTTATTATGTTGTCTTAAGTTGTAAAGAAAGCAAATTTTTTAATCAGTAATTTATTTTGTTTGATTTTAAAGTAGGATACGGACTGATATAAGGCAGCTAAAGGGGTAGGTATAAATTATCGGGGCTCCCATTAAAGTAAAATTAAAAACACGAAATCATATTGAGATGTGGAAGTTTTTTGTAAATGCATCATAATAATCGTCAAGGTATTTATTCTCTAAAAAAATGTTTATTTTGATATCAAATTTTATATTTTTTACCTCCTGAATACAAATATGCAACTATTTTTCACCGCAAATGAATCCTATTAGGCCTACTAAAGACATCACCGTTCAAATACATAACTTATAATTACAGTTTGTAAAAATTGTACTTAAAAACAAAAATAGCCTACTCTATCTGAAAAATAATGGTAAATTTGCATTCAGGAGGTAAAAAACTATAAAAAAGACATCAAAATTATAAATTCATGTGGAGGCATGTACTGATTGAACAATTACCATCAATTTCAATAATATGCAAATCCCTATTTCGAGCAGAATATACAAACTTGTCTAGTTGTATGAACAATCTATAAAAGTTACCGTATTCAATTTGACGTTACGTTAACGGTGCATTACAGATTTTTAGTCGTGTTGATAACATTAGGTACTGTTAACTTTTTACTGGAAAAATGTTTATCGCATTGCAGATTTTATATTAATTGTTTTTTTGTAGGCCTAATTAATGAAATAGGTCTAATATTATGTTACTATTTCAGCAAAACAGGTCTCAAATGTACGGTGCAATAGTACAACTTATGCAGCAACTAGACCAAATTTGAAACTAACCAGCCAAACAAAAGTGATTTGTCAAGGTTTTACTGGAAAACAAGGAACTTTCCACAGCAAACAAGCAATTGAGTATGGCACTAACATGGTGGGAGGTGTGTCCCCTGGAAAAGGAGGAAAAACTCATTTAGATAAACCCGTTTTTAACTCTGTCAAAGAAGTAAGTTTGTGAATTATAGATATAGGTACTGTACGATAGGCTATTTTGAATATGGTATACTAGTTGTTGAATTGTTATATTCCCTGAAGGCAATTTATTTCCTTATTTATATACTCAATAAAATAAGGGGTTTGTTTGTTACACCCTTTTTCCAGCCGTCCTGATGATTTGATTTTTACAACTGAGATAAATAATTTGAAGCTTATGATCTAGCACACCTGCAAATGGTGATTAAGTTTAAAAGGTATTTCCCTTAGGGCTTTGCCTCCTCACGTTTGATTTTTTTCCTTGAGTCCATTTTCAAAGATCCAGTTAATCCAGCTGACCAACTTTCCTTATGATGGTTTAGATGTGAATTTTACTTCAACATCTGTTCCTTCAGTTGAATGTTTAACACGTTGAGTGCGGCCTACTGCCATAGCAGTAGCGCGGCACTGGCACTGCTCGTGGCCTACTGCTATATCAGTAGTGTGCTCGCCTGCCAAACATTGTGTCAGTATGAGCCCAGCACAGGGCTGGGAACGTCGTGATTGTTGCCAGATTGTAGCTTAGAATGCGAGCTTTATTTCGGTGTAGGTTGGTACTAAACATTCCCGTAAAATCCCGTCTGGCAATGTTTTTGTTCCGTTTTTGGGGATTTTCTCTATTCGAGCCATATTACAAAGACTCTGGTTGATGATCCAGGCAGTGCTGCTCCCTTTGGGTGTTTCAATGAACTATGTCCACTTTTGGGGTAACGCAGAACAATCACCACTGCTCTTTTGTGATTCGTCTTACTGAGATATTTCAATACCAATAGCGATCGCTGATTCAGTAGCGCGCCGGGGCTCCGCCCGCAGTTTAGGGAGCGCCATTGTAAACATTTTCAGCAGTGAACGTGTTAACAAGCAGTTAATGAGAGACCAAGTTAGACAGTTTATGAAAATGAATTTTAAATAGAATACTTAATTTATTTTCTTACTGAGGCCTAATTGAGGTCACCTAGAAAAAGCACTATATATATTGTAGATCTAAAGTCACCAAATTTATTGTAAACTAGCTGTTGGCCTGTCCTATGTACGGGAATCAAGTAGTCAATTAAAACTGGATATAATTCAAAACAGCTAGTTTACTTGCATAGAGAAACATTGTGGCAGTTTTAATAGGGAAAATCATCTTGTAAACAATCATGTGACCACCTGTTTCTTTCATCCGAATAGGCCTATATGATATTAGGATACAACAATTTTACAGTAAGAAAGGGATTGTGTTGATTTGAAACGCTTTGAAGTGAGATTGGTCAATTCACACACACTGGTTTAAAGCACAGTAGCTACATATCACATTCCATTTCATACTATTACTTACCAGACCTTATTTTACCTCAGTGGCCACTGAACCTATTAAGAGGATTTTGGCCTCAGATTCTCTTCTACCCGGTATAGAGAAGTCTTTTCTTGCTTGGTCCTCCAAGTGGTCGTCTTACTTGTGGTAGGTACCTACTTCTTGGAATACATTTTTAAAAGTTGATTTATCTTCTCTCCTCCACGCAAAGCCTGTCCTTCCGAGCCTTTTACTTCTGGAAAGCACCCATATATCTGGGTGTTTAAACATTCCTCCTAGCTCTTTGTTCTTTTGTATCTTAACCTCCGTTATCTTGAAATGGTCCGTATATTTTCTTGGCACTCTATTCTCAAATCCAGCAATAAGGTTTTTCGGTTCCATGGTCAAGGCCTGATTTTCTGAACCATATAGTGCTACAGGGATATATGGTCGAATTTAATTTTTGCTGACACCCAGCAACTTATTGGACAGTTTTCTTAAGACCTGAGTCACCAGTTGACATTGGCATTACCCACCTAAGATTTGGTATGCCGACATAGTCCTGACATATTAAATAAATCGTCCATACCTATCCTTTATATCAATTTCTCTGCATTAATTGCTAAATAAAGAAGTAAACAAAGAAAAGTAAAACAATAACAGATAGTTTGTTTTGAAACAGCCGTTTGGTTAAAATAACATTCTTATAGAAAAGAACTTGTCACCTGTAGAAAGAATAATAAAAAAAACACCTAGTAAGCTAGCAACGTAATTTGTCTATGTTTATTATCCATAGCATTATCCGTTCAACTATCCGTGATCACTACTCTAGTAGGGTTGTCCTCTTGTTACACTCAATGTGCAAAACACATTTAACTCTGCAAGATAGTGTGATATGCTGGACGCTCTGGAGAACCCCTTCAATGTCCCGGCATACCTCATGCGCATTATAGAGGATTACCTTTGGTTCCGCCTCCTCATGCATGATACTACAGAAGGCCCGCGGACGATGAGGGTCACTTCTGGTGCTGCCCAAGATTCCATGTACTCGGCCCGGACCTCTGAAATGTTGCCTACGACAGCCTCCTTAGGTCTAAAATGCCCGAGGAAACTGTTTTAGTTGGGTACCCAGCTTTAATAGCTGCTCGTAGTGTTGAGCTGGCCCAGCTAAAATTAACTCGAGTCATGCAAACTATAAACTGTAAGGGTTTTATTTTTATAAGGACGTTATTTTAATTCGAAAGACGATTTTATTTTATTTAGAAGACGATTTTATTTTATTTAGAAGACGATTTTATTTTATTTAGAAGGAAATGTTATTCTACTCAAGGAGATAGTTTTATTTTGGAAATATAAAATAAAATTTGAACCCAAAGGTATATTTATTATTTCGTCGAGTATAAATACTTAATTTAAATCAAAAGCATATTTTGTGTTTAAAGCCGAGGCGGTCATTGTTGTTGTCGGGTCGTATCAGTTGTTAAGAGCGATAAGGCGCGGACGAGCACGCACCGTCGAGCTGCCCGTCCAAGCACGCTGGAACCTGCCGCCGTACAATACCTCGTGACCTTTGCACTGCTCCTGCCCTCACAGGAGGGTATATAAAGGGCTCTGGGTACGGTGGTAAGACAGTCAGGACCCAGCTCTCGTACGGTGCGGAAGGTAAGTTTAGAGTTAGTCGAGTGCGGCAGTATATGGTGCACCGCTAATCCGAAGTAAGATAAGTTTAAGGGAAACGTGTGCAATAGTGATATATTGCACCGCATGGGGTTTAGAATAGGCGTTAGGGATTTCGGCCCACGCTTATTTTACCCAACGTCGAATTTCGGCCATCGAGGCATTAACTTAAGCGAACGGTAGGGAAACGTGTGCAATAGTTATATATTGCACCGTACGCATAGGAAGCGCGTGCAATAGTTATATATTGCACCGCTCGGGGTTAGAATAGGCGTTAAGTATTTCGGCCCATGTTTATTTTACCCCACGTCAACTTTCGGCCATCGAGGCATTAACCAAATTTATTTCCGATCGATTACTAGGTCTGTGATAGCTGTGATGAAAAGAGTTGTACTGGAGTAAGCTTTTGCTTGACTCATACTCATTTCTGAGCTTAGACTTAGTAATTACGTTAAATCGAACCTTGGACGAAATTACCCACGCTTCGACTGTTTTATCCGGCAAACTTTTTTTGTGAGGTATGTTTTTGACACCCTGGTAATTTTAACCTCACAAAACGCATGGATGGCAGATCACGGTCTCTCACTCGCTTTGAACAAAACTGAGATCGTGATTCTGACCAAAAAGCAGATTGACATCAATTGTGTCGTTGAGGTTGGGGGACGTCGAAGTCCAGACTGTTCCTGCCGCCAAGTATCTTTGTGTCATGGTGGACACTAAGCTTGACTGGCGGGAACAGATATTCCGTATGGCGGACAAGGCCGTTAAGGTGATTTCTTCTCTTAGCCGGTTAATTGCCAATGTTGGAGGTCCTCGTTCCAGCTGCAAAAGGCTGTTGATGTCCGCAGTTCAGTCTGTACTCCTGTATGGTGCAGAAGTGTGGGCAGACCCGCTCAATAAGGAGGCGTATAGGATGCGGCTCGCCAGATTGCAGCGTCAGGCACCACCCAGGGTAACATCCGCCTACCGAACAGGGTCTGAACTATCTTGGTGGTTGCTGGAGTAATCCCCGTCATACTTTTGGCGGTGGAGAGGAAAGCGATCTATGAGCGGTGTGGGGAGGACCACGCAAAAACGGAGGAGCGCAACCGCAGCCTACTAGCTCTGGCAGGAGACGTGGGGACCTGGACCAGGAGACTTGTTATATATTTTCTATTTGCATTCCTCAACAATCATACTTTAATTTAAATATTTATTATTCCTGATATTTTTACTATTGTGATTATGAAAACATTGTTCTCAATACAAGACTCTTTTACAACACCATCTTGAAATAATTTATTCAAATATTAACTATCTAATATTCCTTCAAGTATTTTAAAGTGGCGACGAGGATGGGATATCTTATTCCATTACCGAGCTACACCTCTCCAATGTGGAAAATCACCTGCAGAATTGTACTTACACCGAAAGTTAAGGACAAAATTGGACATTCTGAAACCAATATTAAAATCGACTATTCGCAAAAATCGCCATTCAGTGCCTCGGTCCTTCAAAGATGGGGACAGGATACTGGTACGCATGGGAGAAGAGTGGAAATTTGGCAAAGTTGTGACCCGGCTCGGAGCTCTCCATTATATAATTCAACTTGATAGCGGTTATGTGTTAAAAAAAACACATAAATCAACTGAGGCGGACCGAAGTGCCAGAAATTGATCCCACGAAGAAGATATCAGGAAAGGATCACAGTCATCCACAGAAGACCCGTATGTCAGGGAAAACAAAATGGGAAACGTCTTCTACTAAAAAGAAAGTTTAATTTAATGAAAAGATTGAAAATGCAGACTTTACATTTTTTCCTCTGTTCAACACTACCAGTTATTCGTCCACCAGTCATGCATCAACCAGTAATCAACCAGACACATCTGTATATTATGGACCAACACCTTCACGACGACATACATCAAGACAGATCAAACGACCAACACGATACACGCCTTGAACACTTCCTCAGTGCGGAAGAATCTGTTATATATTTTCTATTTGCATTCCTCAACAATCATATGTTAATTTAAATATTT